CAAAGGAAACTAGACGCTTCTAATTCCTTCTTTCCGATTAGTATTCGATTTTAAAATTGATTACTTTATCGATTCAAAACTATCTCTATAGCTGATACCCATCTTTACATAGGAACATTTTTCACATTTAGATGGCTTTAACCGGAATGGAGTTGGTATTGGTTTAAGTCCATTTCTTTGACACAGACTACCCTCTTTACTTTTAAATAATTATATTTCTATTTACTGGTTATGTAACCGGTCGATATTAATTATACCCATGGCAGAATACTCGCAACCCTTATCAAGGAAAGACGCCAGTTTTTTCTCTCGGTTTTTCCCGAATAATTTATTTAGCGGGCCGCCGTCAATTTATCTCTGTGGGAGCTAATTTCGCGTCGGGCCGGTGGCTGGCTGGCGCATGCTGTAATTCAACAAATTGCGCGTCCTATTGGATTTATGGGCCCTCGCACTTGACGGAGCGCTCGCCTCCCTTCTTCCATTGTTCTTGATGCCGGATCGTACAGGACAACTGAAAAAATAAAATAAAGATGAACAAGTGTTACGTACTTCTGATTATAATTAAGGCGCGTCTGTTTTGTTTTTACTTATTCAATTATACCTAGAGACAAATTATAATATACGAAACAGAAATAAGAAACACAAACAAGTATTGGGCAGCATTGAACACCGATAGTAAATTTCGTTTTTTTTAAGCTATGATTATTTTGTGTCATATGACTTGAACGCACATTCTTTGTGCAGAAGTAGATTGTAACACAATTGCATCAATTATTCAGTTGGCGTTTTTCTTTATTACTTTCTCTGGAAGGGATGGTAAGGACTGTTCAGGATTTGGCTTCTGTTTCTAGCTTTGCTACGTAACTTATTATTCTTATTACTTTAACATTATAATCAACTAGCTTACGCCCGTGGAACCGTTTGCGTAGATTCTATTTAATCGAGAACCGTTCAGAAGTCTAAGATATAAACGGTAACAAACATCCATACACTCATCTAAAATTATGCATTTATATAATTTGTAAGATTTGAATGCTTACAGCTTCCTTATTAATTTCTTTGAAGTTATTAGGAATACAAAAGTTAATGCATCTTTCATGTAGTGTGTAAATTGAACTCTACTTTGCCCTTTGGCTTTGTTTGCAAAATAATTTTTGTTTTAACCCAAATAATTCTCGGATTAACACTAACGTATAACTAATTTGTCAACTTGAAGATATTTTTACGGGATTTTCAAAATTCTAACATAGATTTTGGATTATTCGATCTTATATTTATTATGAAAATAAATGCAATTGAAACTTAGACTTGAAATACATATAAGTCGAGCTGAGTAAGAATACAAGGCGCGAGCGGTTCTGTTATGTGTTTCTTTCTGCTGACTGCGGACGGCGGCGGGCGTCTCGCTCGCGTCCGCCGCTGCGAATCACCCGATTCAGCATAAAGTGACACACCTAGAGCTGACTTACCACCCGTTTTATTTGATCATTTTAATTTATTTTCCCAATTCTTAGTTAATCTTTGGTTTTATTATTTCTATGAGGATGGAACCTTTGGATTGCAATTTAACAACTGAAAATCATCATCTGGAAATTAAAAGTTGTAGAATCTATTTTTTCAAATATTTCAATGTTAGGGATAAGTTGCAGTAAATAGTTTCTACACCTTATATATATAAATTATTAAAATACTATGTGAAAGAAGAGACAAAATGGTAGTATTTAAATTTAAGTAATAAGAAGTTGATAATCTTACATTTTAGTTTATAATATGTTAAAAATCAGACATGAGCCGTAAGTAATACTTAGCA